ATTATCCTAATAAAAAATTAACCAAATTCCCTTTGCAAAATCTTAAGAACTCAAATGGTATAAAGGAGGTTAATAACTTTGTTTCCTAAAAAAATCAGTCAAAACTTTTCAATATCTTAAAAACAGTGAAATGAGCAATAAATAAAATAAAGGAATGCAAAAAACAAAAAATTCTGAAAAGCAAAGTATAATTAATGATATTTTATCTTATGTTTTCAAGGGAAAAAATTACAATGAAATAAGCTATATCCCTTAATACAAATATTAATTATCCTAATTAAAAAATTAACCAACTTTCCGTAGAAGAAATAAAATCATGTAAAACTTTTCAATATCTTATAAACAAAATAAATGAATGAAAATAAATGAAATAAGCAAAAAAAAATGACATGAAAGCAACTCAAAAAACATAAAATTCCGCGCAGAATTTTACTCCACAGAACAACTTTATCCAAAAAAAAAAATAAAATAAAATAAAATAAAAAAAAAAAAATAAAAATAAAAAATAAAAATAATTATATTTATATAAAAATGACAATGAAATATGCCAATCTCTTAAAAACAGTGACATAAGAAATACGATGAAAAAATTGTTGCCAAACCCATATTTCTAAAAGAATGAAACTATTCAAAATGATGCGATTTCATCAAAAATCTATCAACAACAATAAGACAGGAAAATTGTTGCCCAAAATCACATTTTTAAAGATGTGAGATGTGAGAAATGTACTCGGAAGCTTCATTTAAAAAATCTTTTAAAAATACAAAATATTATCATTTTCCAAAATTCTTTTTGTAAAGCATTCGCAAGGATGAAAGTTTATCGTGTCCAAAAATCAAAGAAAAATAATCTGTACATTTTTAAAAATAAACTTTTTTAGAAAAAATCCCATTGAAAAAGTGTTAAGCTCCCTTTGTTAAATAAATTCGTATTTAATCGATTTTATTGAAACACGAAATTTATTTAAGTTCGTAAAATAGCTAAGTGCCTACGTTTCATGACGATGTGGAAAATGGAGTGTGTGTAGAGTAAAATCTCACTTTCCTATAGCACATTATGTTTCAAAATGACACGATTTCGTTACAAAACATGAAATAAAAAAAATTCGAATTCGAATTTCGAAAAAATCGCTTCGAAGTGCACTGGCTCTTGTGTAGATGTACCTATGTACCAAATTTCGTAGCCGTGGGTCTATTAGCTTATGCGCAGCGCGAACGAAAGGCGCACACACACAGACAGACTCTTTCTTTTATTATATGTAGAGAAGATATGTAGAGATAAGATTGTTTAAGGGAAGGAAACTTTCAAGTTTCGCAGCTGTACCCCCTGCGGCATTAACACGATCATCACGGAGAGTCTAGCCTTTTGCAATTCTCTTGAGAGCTCACAGGTACTGAACAATATATAGCAATCAATCTCACATAGCGGAATCATTGAAGTAAAATTCTGGGAGGAATGGGAAATAACAAAAGAACTGCCTTGACAATTTTCAGAGGTTTAGGGTTATTTTCGTGACATTTTACGGGAAGTTCGGTCCAAAACTAGCGACAGTTTTAAAGAGATTCGCAGATAATCACTCGACAGGCTAAGGGTTAATGGAGTGCCGCTCTCTTTATGGATGAGTTCAAATTTAGCCTCCAAAGTGACAGCAGGAGTTATTTGATTTGGTGAGAACCTAGAACCCTTTTTCATCCATCAAACATCCGTGGAAGAGATGCACGGTAGTAACTGTGTTTGGGGTGGTATCTCTTTGGGTGGACGCACAACAGCCATGTCTATCCGACATCCTTGATGATTATATATGCCCTTATACCGGTACAATAGGTGATAATTTCCTGCTACAGAACGACAACGCTAGACCACACAATGCTCGTATCGTGGGTGATTATCTTCAGCAGCAAACAATTCAGCACATGGAGTGGCCAGTTCGATCTCCGGACCTGAATCGTATCGAGTATGTTTAGGATGCTTTAGGAAGACGTATGTCTATCCGACATCCTTGATGATTATATATGCCCTTATGCCGGTACAATAGGTGATAATTTCCTGCTACAGGACGACAACGCTAGACCACACAATGCTCGTATCGTGGGTGATTATCTTCAGCAGCAAACAATTCAGCACATGGAGTGGCCAGTTCGATCGCCGGACCTGAATCCTATCGAGCATGTTTAGGATGCTTTAGGAAGACGTATAGCTGCTTTCAGTCCTCGTCTTCAGACCCTTGCCACGCTTGCAAGTGCTTTGCATGAGCAATGGCTCTCACTTACGGAATTACGGAATCGGCTTACAGAATTCATAGACCGTATAATCGACAACATCACACACCACCCTATGTGTTGCATTGCTTGTAGGGGGGATCAAATTCAATACTGAAGGTAAGTTTCCTATATCAAAGTGACAAAACCATTTGTTAATTTTATACATATGCTAATTTCTATAACACCATAATCGTCTAGTAATTTCTTTTCATGTAATTTTATACCCTGCTATGCGTTGTATATTATGGTCCAGTTTCATTATATTCTTTCTACATGTAATCTTTTGAGTAATCGTTATTTTTGTGATTTTTTCTTAATTAATGATAACCAGTGTATTAAGTTCAGAACACGTGCTCGTAGAACAAATAGGTAAATTTGGTTTATTTGATTATGGCAAAGCACTCGAGGGGTCTATCTTACTATGATAAAGGATGTCTTCATGGAGGACTTTCTAAGGGAAACTGGCTCGTACGACGTTACCACGAAAGCGCCCATGCAGCTAGCCCGTTCGCCGAGATTCGATCCCAAGACCGAGCTAACCGAACCGTTCAGTAAATTTACTGCTTGGCGCTGGTGGTCTCAGTAAGTTAGGTGTTTAGTTATTGTTGAGCTTATATCTATGAATGGGCATAAGGTCTCGGAACAATTTCCCAATTAATGGGTCGGATCCTGCGAGCATTGGTCACTGAAGAGTTTAATAAAACCCAATGGTCCAACATCCCTTTAATTTTACCATCAATCTCTCAATTTTTAAGAGGCTGTTTTGAATTGCTCTGATATCAGTTTTACCATATTTTTGCAGTGACACAAGATTTTTCCCAAACTCAAGTCCTAGTCCAGATGATACAGTATTGGCTTTGCCATTCATTTTCATACTATCTAGGATAATAGTGAAAGAGCGAAAACGGAATTTACCCTTTGCTCTCAAAATCGCACTTTTTTATGCTTTGGCATCCGCTTCAATTTCCCATTTTCCATTTCAACTTCTGTTCAAGAAGTCAATTTTTGTGACAGCAAGGGAAATTCAAATTAAAAAATGTCTATATAATTTTAGTAGGTAACGTTTTTTGCTATTACATGTTTTTAGACGGTTACATAGATTTTTCAGAACGTTCAGAAATCTTTGTTAACTGATAGAATTCTTAAACCGGAATTTTCAAAATCTGAAGAAGACCCACAATGGCTATTTAAAGTTTCTTGGATAGTTGAAGGTTGCATTAGCTATCTAACATGGGAACGTTTTGAATTAGGGCGATAAATGCAATCCTTGACTACGCAAAAGGGTTTTTGAATTAATCGCAGCGAACTGTTTATCGCCTCACCAGGGGCTGAATGGTTAAAATTACTGAATACTGTCATCTCAGGCATAACGGCTGGCTGCATAGTTGTTTTTTCCACATATAAAGGACTATAAACGAATCGAAAATAAAATATTGCGATTTTAGCTCCATAATGGACCATCATTGAAGACTTTCTCTTTCTTCTCTTTACCATATCTTTTTCATTATCCCGATTGTTCCTGAATATTTGATATACAGGATCTGGGCAAGCTGCAATGTAAAGCGATAAATTTTATTTGACACCAACGTTAAAATTGATAACAAAATTCATTATTTGGATAATTCACTAACTTGAAGTATTGTACAAAACTTGAGGTATACAGAGGTATTGTACAAAAAAAAATATAATGTAATAACCACTAGAAAATTAAACGAGAACAGGAAATAAAAGCTATCCTAGGGAGTCAAAAAATATGTTACACAAAAATTCTAACGTTTTATTTTTCATAAACATTTCCCGCAAGGCCTGCCGGGAAAAGAATTCAGACGACCGTTAATCACGCCGTCTGATTACATGATCATTTTATTTTTAACATTCGGCGTGATCAACGGTCGTCTGATCACATGATCATTTTATTTTTAACAAAATGCCTCCCCCCATGAACCACAGGTGGTTCATAAAACTTGATATATAAACAGTATACATTCATATTGCAAAAACACTCCAGTTCCAGACACAAGCAAAACCATATATGTATCATCTAAATAACTGAGAATTTAAATGAAACATTAAGCAATTTAAACGTAACATTATCCAAATAAAAAAAATATTAAACTTTTTTTAAAAATATTATTCAATGGCACCCTAAGAGCATACCATGACTGTGTGAACTTAAGTACATTTTAAATTATTAAATTTATGCATGGAAGTTACTAGAATTACAAATTTTAACACAATAATTAAAAAATAATAAACAGCCATAAAAAGATATACTCACAATACATATTTTTAAATTAACACTGAAGATAAGCACTTTAGTTTTGAAGCTCTAAATTGTACAAAAGCTATACCAGTACGTCTAATAACCGATGACTCGGTTTTTACCTTGCAAGCCCTCACCTTGCCATCTCTTCCAGGAAATAAGTCAAGGATTCTCCCTCATCTCCAGAAATTTCGGTAAATGATCCTCCTTAACTAAAACTATATCATTAACTTTAAATTCGGGAACATTTTTCTTTATCAAATTTGAATGGTCAGATCTTAAATTCGACAAATATTCTTTTTACCACCTGGACCAAAAAGAATTCATTAATTTTTCGCGATAATTATATCAAAGACTTTATCAAAGACTTCCTGGAAAAAAAATTTGAATTAAGGTGAAGTCTCCCTGACGGCAACGATGATATTCTTTTTCCTAAACGAAATGTGCTGGAATTAAAGCATGTGGTTCATCTAAGTCACTTTCCAGCATAGGAAATTGGCCGAGAGTTAATCATACCTTCAATTTCGATAAGAACAGTTTGCAACTGCTCAGTGGTCAGAGATGACTTTACAAGGATTTTCCGTAGGGCGACTTTCACGGAACGCACGATGCGTTCATAAAAGCCTCCCCAACAGGCTGCTCTTTCCACAATATACTCGTACTTCCATTTAATTCCGTTGGCAGCGTAAAAGTTTTTTACTTCTGGATGATTCATTACTGACCAAATTTGTTTCAGCTCAAGTTCAGCACGTTTGAAAGTACGCGCATTGTCAGGAAAGATCACAGAACACAAGCCTCTTTGAGATACAAAGCGTCGGAAGGCAAGCAAAAATGTATCTGCCGTCATATTACTGATTAGTTCCAGATGAACACTTCTTGTAACCGCACAGTTTATCAATAGAATATATTGTTTGTTTTTACTATCTTTCACAAATAACGGACCAGCATAATCGATTCCAATTACTGTAAATGGGGCTGATTGTTGCACTCGAAAAGCTGGTAATGGAGCTACCATCTGGTCTCCAGGAGAAAATCTTTGCTGAATCTTTTGCAAGTAACACATTCACCTAGAAGAGATTTTATGACTTGTCTGGCCTTTAGTTTCCAGTATTTTTCTCACACCTGCACCAGCGTATGAGATACACAGGAATGAAATAGTTCATTATAGGATTCCCAAATCAGTAATACAGTGAACTTAGATTTTGACGGTAGTATAATAGGGTGTTTTTCATCCGTAGATAAATGATTTTTCTCAAGCCTTCCTGTCACTCGCAATACATCTTCATAATCCAAAAATGGGCTTAAGCACAACAACTTAGAGTCTTTTTGTAAAGGCTTGCCATTCTTCACTTTAGTAATTTCCTCAGAGAAAACGTCCCTTTGAACAGCTTTAACCCAAAACTGTTCAGCACGATTATATTCTTCAGTAGTAAGAGGACCCATTGTACTAGTTTTCCTCCTAAGAACATCAACAAACCGCAATATCCAAGAAGTCACCTTCAATAACTTGCGTAAGCAACTAAACTTATTAACATCAATTATCTGTTTGGAAACAATTGCAGAACTAATTATAAGCAGAAGATTTATATTCAGCTTCAATCTCCCTATTTATTGACTCATATTCAAATCTCTTCAGCTGGGGCCAAGTATTCTCCGGGTACAATAACCATTTTGGGCCCTGCCACCATTTTATTGAAGTTAGCAAATCTTTACTAGTTAATCCTCTTGTTAACAAGTCCGCGGGATTTTCTTTACCTATACAGTGTCTCCATGCACTGGGATCTGTAGTTTCATGAATTTCTAATACTCTGTTTGAAACAAATTGCTTCAACTTAGACGCCGTGCCTTTTATCCAGTGTAGCACAATTGTTGAATCACTCCATAAAATAATCTTTTCCAAATTAAAAAAAAAAGATTATTACAATATTTGGCTAATCTTGCTGCAATTACTACACCCATTAATTCTAGTCAGGGCAACGTCACCCTTTTAATTGGCGCAACTAGTGATTTGGATGCTATGAAGCTAGTTTTAAAAGTGCCATGCGATGTCTTGTATCTAAAGTGTACAACCGCTACAAAAGCTTTTAATGAAGCATCAGAGAATATATAGATCTGTAAATCTTCTTCCCCCTTCAGATTTGTGGCAGGAAAAAAAAATTGTTGAGGAACTTTCAAATTTAATTTCATTACACCATGTTTGCCATTTTTCTTTAATTTCTCCGGAAAACATCTCATCCCATTCTACACCTAACTGCCACAGCTGTTGTAACATAAACTTTACATGAACTAGAAAAGGAGAGATAAGTCCAGATGGATCAAATAATTTTTGCAGCTGAGTGTAATACGTTTCGTTTAGTACATTCATTAATATCTAACGTGGATAACTTAAGTCTAGACTTAATGTGTCTTCAATATTATTCCAACTCAGTCCTAATACTTTTAAATGTGAATCAGAATATTCATTTGTTTCGATTAATGAGTTAGAATTCTTCCATAAATCTTTCAGTTCTTTAGAGTTGGTGTCAAATTTTCTCATATTCATGTTTGCATCCTTTAAAAAATCAAAACAGCATCACCAGATAACTCATAAGCTTCTTAAACAGTGGAACTTCCATGAAAAAGATCATCCACATAAATAGAACTATTCAAAATTTCATATGCAAGGGGGTGCGTATTCTTGTAAGCATTAATATGAGTTTTAATTGTTGCAGCCAAAATGTAAGGAGAGCAAGTGACGCCAAAACAATGTCTATTAATATGATACATGGTTATGGGTTGGGTTTTGTGGCAGTTTTTATAATACAGGAAACATAAAAAATTTCGGTCATCTCTCGTGACTTGAATTTAAAGGAATGCCCGTGCAATGTCTCCACAGAATCCAATTTTATGTTCTCTAAATTTCAAAATAATATCTAAAAGATTAGCATTTAAATTCTTTTCAGGAAGGAGACATTCATTAAGACTATTACAACTTCCTTGTTTACTACTGGCATCATAAACTACTATAGTTTTAGTACTAGAAGAATCTTCCCTGAAAACTTCTCTATGAGGCATTACATATTCAGTGAAACAACTATTGTTGCACATTTCAATAACCCCGTCATTTAGTTGTTCCTTCATAACTGCATTATATCTCTCAAATAATAACTCATCAGCCTTAAACTTCTTTTCTAATGCAGCAAATCTGTTTGTCGCGATTTCTAAATTACTAGACAAATTTTCTCGTAAAGTCTGACTTCCATAAAAGTGGTGATTCGTACCTTCCATTTATAAACCGTAACTGCGTTTCGAATTCTGTAATATTATCCGAGATTTTCTATTTTCCATTCTCAAGAAAATAGGATTCAGAAGTACATTTCATCATTTTCTATTAAATACATGCAATCTTCAAACAGGATGTAGAATTATGCAGTCGATTTTCCGGAATCTGCCCTGTGATAGTATCACCGAATAATGTCTGTTGAATATATAAGTTTTTATTTATTTTTTTAACTTCCTCGATTAGCGTCGAATACATAAAATCGGCGCCTAAGAGTACCTGGACTGGTCTGTTATCTCGTAATGCTTCAGAAATTTCATAGCCGTGTGGAGTTCAATCTTTTAATAATTCAGGTTTGATATTAGAATACATATCAACTCCGCTGATTTCATCAGTTACTAAAGCTTGAATATCTATGCTAGAATAAGGAGGATATTTGCTTTTAAGAGTCATATTAACGACTTCGAAATCCTTATCATAAGGGTTACGTTTTGCGGAAGTATAAACTGAAAGCCTTTCTTTAAGGTTTGCACATTTAAAGCCCTTACTAAATCTTTCCGAATAAATTATTTCTGTGAGCCCGAATCAAATAACATCAATGCACTTAACCGTTTAGAATTATTTTCCACTTGTACGCAAGCAATCTGAAGTAAAGTAGTGTAATTTCGTACATAGTTTTGCTACTTAAATACAGAAGACATCACAGCTTGTTTATCAGAACTTTGTACAAGTTTAGCCTTTACTGACGGTTTAATTTCCGATGTATGCTTATTCTTTGTTGTGGGGCATAATAATGAATTATGCTATAAACTCTGACAAATTTCACAAGGTTCTATTTTTACTTTACATTGTGACATTAAATGTTTGTCAAGCAAGCATTTATAACAACGTCCCTCTTTTTTTTTAGTTTGTATCGCTTTTGTTCATAGGTGAATGTTTTACACTTTAATCCGGAATGAGAATTAGAATTACAAAAGTTGCACGTCTTCACTACCGTATTTAATGCAGATGATTTTAAATTGTATTGATTTAAATTGTATTAAGTATTGATTTAAATCTAGCCTGAGGTTGAGAGTGATCCTTTCCTTTTGAAGGTTCCCGTGTCTTCAAAGAAAGCCCAGAAACAGTTCTTGCAGCTTCCTTACATTCAATTTCAAGTTCGGTAAAATTCATTAGCTGATTTATATCACTAGAACTTTTAGGATCTTTCTTGCGATAAAATTCTATTACTAAATCCTGAGGTAATTGTTTTAATAAAAATTTGTAATTGCAGATGAGCGTAATTTCCGGATGCAACTCCCATAGAACCTAAATTTGGGTGTACTCCAACTGCGCTAATGAAAATCTCCCCGGGTCGAGCTATAGTCCAACTGCGCCAATCAAAACTTCTTCCCCCTGCTACCTACAGAGTTACAATTTAACTTTTCGAAGCCAATTATAGCCAAGAGGAAAATAAAAATAAATAAATAGAATTACATATCACAAGAACAAGTAAAAAATATCTAACAAGCGGGCTAATTACTTGAATAACAGTAATAAATGCGAGAGCTAACAAAGAAAATAAAAGGTATTGGTAAGCATACATATTAGCATTACAAACATCTTTCATTTATGATAATAATATCATAAATTAAATAATTATAATGCATACAAATTATATTTTTAATAGATTACATCAATAATAGTCAAGATGTCTGAACTAGACTGGAAAATTTAATAGAGTGCAAAAAATTATTCCATATCAAAGTGTGTTAAAGTGTGTTAGAAATATTTTTCGTTAATTAAAGCAATCATGTAAATGTTTGCAGAAATTAATAGTTAAATTTAAAAAAAAATTAGCATGAAATCTATTGTAACGACATTACTATGCGTTTGAATCAGTGACGTATAAATTGTAAATAAATTTAAATTATTATGCTAAAAAGTTTTTCTAAAATTTATCTAGAAGAAAAGAATTAGATGAACAGTACTGCAAATTGATATAATCAATCAGGTCTCTTAATAAATAAAACTTAATTTTTTAACCAAAAACTAAAAATTAGGATGCAAAAGTTTCTGTAATATACTTGGAAGTATCTGAACATATAATTAGTTAGAAACATACAATTAAATTAATAACAAGCTAATTAACAGTAACATTAAGCTTAATTTCATTCAATCTAAAACAGGCAATCGATCAGGAGCTCCGCATGAGTGAAGTTTTAATACTATTTTACGTAGATTTGCGTATAAAATAAAAGTTGCACTTGTGAAACAAGTGAATAATGTACTGATAGTCAACAGGAATTAAAATACAGTGGTTAAAAATATAACTACTTGTCAGAAGGTATGCAAAGTTGCCATGGCTAGAGAAATTGAATGATTATAGAAAACTCATAAAGTTAAACGCTACAGTGTGAAAAGGAAATTCTGGAATAAACATGTTAAGAAAATTAGATGGAGAACTAATTCTTAATTTATTGATATCCATATAAACTCTATGCTTTTGGAAAAATGTTACATATAATTTGCACCGAGGTATCAATCACCGAAACTGAGTTAATTTCTTTCCTTGTTTTTTCTTATTAGAGGGATTTGTAAAAAGATATGCTAAGGTAAAGGTAAAAACTTTTGCAATATTTTTAAAGAATAAATTAAAAAAAGTATTTTTACTTCATGAACTGAAATTTTTACGCTACATTTTTAAACAGTAAATAAGTACAAAAAAAAAAAAAAAAAAAAAAAAAATACAGCTGGGGGATCACTGGGACTAGAAACTCGAGTCGAACTACCAATTTTTAGTGACTTTTCCACAAGACCTTTTG